TTTGACACCATTTGTAATTTCTTATTCACTTGAGTATTAAAAAGCCTGTGCTTCACAAGCAGATGGATATACCTTTAAAACTGCTTATTAAATATACCACAACAGCTACAGAGTACAATGGGAGTAAGATATGCAAAACCTGGAAATATTTCCTGACGATCAAGACTCAAAACTAGTCTGTGGATGACATACAAGACATCCATACTGAGTAGTATTTATTATTTCTTACTATTTTAAATAAACCTTAGCAAGACTTGGCATATCTACAGTTGTAAAATTTTACTTTTATTGCAATGGATCCATTTGTCTAAAGTCTATGGGATATGTTGAAACTGCACTAATTCAGATTTATACATAAGCTTTAAATGAATGATAGAGTGAAGTAAGAAATTACATAGAAGTCAGGTAAAGCTGGGTTTCATTTTGATTTAACTACATTATTAGGTATCAGCCTAAGTGAAATGAAAATAAGCCCAGCATCAGTAAGGCCTTCCCAAGGGTACATGGAATTAAGTATTAGTTTTAACTGTACAATTCTTAGGCAAGTGCTTCAACTTACACATCAGTTTTACTGAAAATTTTAAGAAGTCATAGGGGGAGTGGAGAAAAAAAATCACACATTTATTTCCATCAACTCTGAACAAGAATTTCTCAGCAATTCAGCAAAGAAATTTCAGGATTGCAACATTAGCACCAGCAAAATTAGCTTTTTCAACACGATTTATACATCTCCCAAATGGATACATTTTGACACTTAGAGATTATTATTTATAGTAGTATCATTGTATAAAATAGGAGCACTGATGGGATCACTGCCACACTGTCTGTAATTGATTATTGTGCTCCCATCTGTAAACAAGTTATGTCTGCCAGAATAATATATTGTACACTACTGTATGCAATAATGTAGTGTATATCAGTACATCTTGAGAGCATTTCATTTTTTACTAGTTTTTCCAATTTTTTCATCATCTAATTAATTTTATTTGTATTTATATATAAAATAAATATGTAGTGTCAATAGAAATATCTTATTACACACTAAACAGAATAGTCCAGATCATTGTGTCCAGAGGTTCATACAAGACACAACCTGGTTCACCAAATCTGTTTACTTATTCAGTTGTTCTAACTACTTTTGAGTTAGATGATGTCCCTAACAACAATACACTGTGGATAAAAAAAGGAAAGAAAAGGAAAAAAAGGAAGAAAAAGGTTTGCATCATTTTAAACATTGTAATACATGCAATCTAAACCAAAAACCCCCCAAAACCATAAGTAGGAATTCCCTTTTGAACCAATATGCTATAAAAAGACTTTCATTATCAAGAAAATATGACATTGAATTTATCACAAGCTCATTTGATTATATACTATAAATCTTACCCAGTGTGTGAAGAATATACTTTCTGCTCCCACTTGTTACCAGAGAAGGCAATATGTCTGGTATTTATTATGACAACATGATCTCCACAGTCATCTACAAGGTTTAGAAATAAGTGGAAAATATTAAAGACAACCATAGGGGAAATCAACCAAAATAACAACTATTATGTGTGTGATACATATGTAGTAGCACATAAACACACATTTCATAAAGCTGAAATTTAAAGATCTGAGCTTTTTGAGTCACACTATCCAAATCGGCAACTAAATACCAACCTTAATTACAATATTTTTTAGTACTGTCAGGTTAGAAGGCAGGCGAGAAGTAAAATACCACCAGAATACATAATTAAATCATTGCAATTATTTAGCTAAGATCTGGAAATGTGGCTTACAGGCAAGCATATTATTCTACTCAACACATTATGCTGCATATGCACCTATATTTAAAAAAAAAAAAGACAGGGAAAAAAAAGGTTAGTTCCAAATGATGCAAAATATTTATTTTATTTCATAAAAACAGTACCTATGTTTACTGAAGGACTGAACATTTTGGGTAAGTAAAATAATTCTATTAAATAATTACACTTTAGGTCTAAATATATAAAAGAAAAAAAAATTTAGTGTTGGGAGCAGGGGGAGGGAGGAGGGAGAAAAGCCCTAAAAAATCCTCCAATAGCTCTGTTGGGAAAACTCCCACATTTTCATCAATCAAACAGAAGTGAATGTTACAGCACATACACATGTTTAGACTTATATATCAGCAACTTTAACATCAAAAGTTTTTTAAGTGCAAAGTCTATAATCTATCACCCTGCCTGAAACAGTTATTTTACTAGATCTTCTATACTAATAAAGTGCTAATAAACCCCAAACTATCTCAAAAATATCACAGAAATATGAGAAAAGAGTAGTTTTTCATTTCAGAAATAATGATCTTGAACAGCTATATAACCCATAACCACACATTCAATCAGCTGGAAAACTATTTGTCCAGAGGTCACTCTCACTTCCATCACCATATTAGAACACAAATATTTGAAGAGACTCACTTGATTAAAACATTTTTGAGTAGATAACAAAGCAGCTGTACAAAGCAGGGCTTAAATTGAGCATGTATTTTTTTATAGCAGCACATAATTAATCAATGCAAGTTTCACATCTTATTTAAGTTTTTTTACAATTTTTTAATCTTGTGTTCTTTTAATGCAATTTAAAAATCTTCACTGACAGTCCAGCTCTAAAAATACTGTGTGTCTACATAAATATCAGGGAACGGGCATTTTTTGGGTTTTTTTGTTGGGAAGATGACAGAATAAGCTCATCTAAAGAAATTTCTGTCAACGGTTTTCCACTTGCATGAACACCAAATTAACAATCTGGATACCAAATTAAAAACAAAACAACAAAAACATCCCTACAATGTTATTCTGTCTAAGGAATTTTTATTTCAAAGACACTAAAAGATTTGTTAGTTCATTAAAAAAAAAAAGTGTTAAGTACATCAACCACGAATTTTTGCATACTTTGCTCTCATAGGGAATATCAAATGTCTCAGTAGTAGTTACCTCTCAATGTCAATCTCGTGTGTAATGCGAATTTAGTACTGATTCATAGAATACTTCAAACCAAATACAGTTACCCTTGAAATGACTTTCCAGGACTTTATAACTTCATGGACATAGAAGTGTCAAAGATCTTTTCCAGAGAAAAATCAAAACCTTCCTCTCAGCATCTCCTTTGTTTTTCAGACAGCCTTAAGTCTCCAGTGACATCTTGTGGATACCACAAAATTTGCAACAGCAGAACTCTGGTATTTAAAACATTTTTAGACAACTACAAATCCTACCTTCTATTATGAAACAGTTCAAGTATAATTTTAGTATGTACATTTCACATGCATGAACAAACTTCAAGGTTTCCTTTATGTTTCAGTAATGTCTCTTGAAAAATCTGCATGGGTGTTAAAGGAAACACTGGACCAGCAGTATGAGGGATCAACCTTTTACTATTTATAAAACACTTATTCCTGTGAGACAGGCACTACGGTACTACAAGTAATGAACAATAGCACAGATACATTGTTACTGCTGAATCTTCTAACTTGTAGAAAAGTAACATGATTGTTTTATTTAAACAAGAAAGTATCTTTCAACAATGATTATGTCTCCCATAGTCATTGTTGAAAGGTTCCAGCCTGATCATCACAGGACCTCTAAGACAGGAAGGGGCCTCTGAAGGTCATGTCATCAGATCGCCCTGCTAAAAGTAGGGCATTTTTTTAAAATCTCCAAGGATGGAGATTCCACAACCTCCTGGACAACCACTTCCAGTCATTCTCACAAATATGTTTCCTGATGTTCAGGGAGAACCTTCTGTGTTTCAGATTGTGCCCACTACTTAATGAAGACAGAACTTTTCTGTACCTTATTCAGAATGAAGAAGCACTCCAAGACTGTGGTGCTGTGTGCATACTGAAAGGTAGCATTCAGAAAATCTAACCAAGAATTGCATCAATGTTTCATTATGTGCACTGTGAATTAAATCTCTACATCTGAAATCAATGCAATGAAACATATTTTGATGTTTTTAAAATAATGAAAGCACAACTCACTGTAATTCAGCTACTTAAACTATAAATTCATAACATGCTTGATATGCATTGGTAAAGAAACAACATAAAGTTGTAGAGGGGTATGATGAAAAAAGATGAGAAAGAAAACTAATTAATTTATAATTTACAAGCAAAGGAAAAATGTAATCTTTTATATCAGACTTGATTTTAAAACTGAAGTTGGAATAATCATACAAGTGAAAGAGCAAATTTGCTTCCAACCACTGCAACACTCACTTAGTGCATGATAAATAGGTTTATGTTTGCCTTCAAGTCTCATTACAGTCGCAGCTGCTAATTTTCCTGGGGGCTGCATCTTCGCATCCAGGAGGTACCAGGCTCTGCCAAAAGTGGCCCATTGCTGAAGAGAAAGAGAGGCAGTACTTAAAACAGTAAAAGCTCACGATATCACAACCCAGCTTCTTTAATTAAATCAACGCTTCTTTTACACTCAAAAATACTGGAAGAAATTAATTCCCATCGACATCCCCTTAAAATAACCTTTAAAGGGAAGGTGCACCACGACACAGAACGATGTACATGCGTAACACCACTGAAAAGCTACAGGCCCTGAGGATTTTGTTTCAAAACTGCACATCTCCTGCTGGAAGCACCCATTATCGCTATTCGAACTGCAACATCGCTGCAGGATATTTAATGCCCAACGTCCCCGTCCCGCCCGGTGAAGGGCACAGCTCCCGGGCCGCGCACAGCCCCGGCCGCTGCGGGGATCTCTGTCCCTCGGACGTGCCGCACACGGCGGCTCCTGCCAGGGGAACCCTCAGCACCGACACTGGGGCCTGCTGACCCGCTCCCTCACGGCCCCGGGTTCCGAAAGCCCCGGCTCACCTGGGCGGCCTTGGTGTAACTCGCCATCCCGCCCGCGCCGAGGCGGGAGGCGCCGGGGCCGCCGCGCCCGCGGGAAGCGGAAGCGCTGCCCTGCGAGGGGCGGCGCCCGGGCGGCAGCGGGACCTTCGGAGCGGCCCCGGCCCCGGCCCTGCTCCTGCCCCGGTCCCCGCCCGGCCATGGACGCTACGTGCTGCTCCTGAGCTGGGGGGAGCGCCAGGGCCGCGGGCGGGCCCGGACCAGGTACGGCCGCGGGTCGGGGCCGGGGCCGGGGGGCCCGGGCGGGCGGGCCCTCCTGGATCCTGCCTCCTTGAACCCCTCCTGGATCCTGCCTCCTTGAACCCCTCCTGGATCCTGCCTCCTTGAACCCCTCCTGGATCCTGCCTCCTTGAACCCCTCCTGGATCCTGCCTCCTTGAACCCCTCCTGGATTCTGCCTCCTTAACCCTCCTGGATTCTGCCTTCCTGAATGCCCCCTGGATCCTGCCTCTTAAACTGCTCCTGGATCCTGTCTCCTTGAACCCTTCTAGGTCCTGCCCCCTTAAACCCATCCTGGATCCTGCTTCCTTGAACCCCCTCCGGATCCCGCCTCCTACACTCCTCCTGTATCCTGCTTGCTTAAACCCCGCGTTGGTTTCTTGGTGACTTTAACCTGCAGAAACTCCGACGCTGCCATGTAACTCCGTCGTGCGATTCATGAGCAGGACTTTAATGAGAATTTTGCAAAATTTGCCTTTTTAAAACTCCTGTAAATCTGCAGTTGATGGTTCTCTTTAAAAAAAAATAATCAGACATAACTTCTAATATTACACCAAACTTTATGCTGTATTTCCAGGAAAGTAAGATTTAACTTCCATAATTCAGTAATTTAAAAGAAAAAACTTTTTTTTTTTTCCAGCTGGAACTGCTGCAGATATGTATCAGTTCCTGAAAGAAAGCTGTAACACATCTATAAACACAGATGTGAGCGCATTCCCAGGTAAATATAGCAATGGACAGTAAGGTGAGCATTACCGGGGATTGACCTAGGCACAGCTTATGATCGAGGGGAAACAAGTCAGAAATGAAAGTAAACCCAAATGCAGTGGTGTGGGACTGCTGCTGCTCCTTTTTCTGTGGAGAATTGATGACAATTCAGCAACTAAGGTATTAGGAGATTAGATAGACTGGACATGAGAAATTAAAGGGAAAGGTTTTGAAAAGTTGACAAATTTCATTCCAGTTGAACAAGGAAAAGTAGAAAAGGGCTTGTTTCTCAAGTCGGTGGGAAGCATGATATTTTCATTGCTCCTATAATCTAATTTTTAAAGTGGAAGCAATATTTGTCTGTTGGGTAACAATTCAGAATCTTAATCCATGAGTATTTATTAAGTCATTTTATAATCTTAAAGTAGATTTCTTAAGATCTGCTTTAGTACTTTGAGGGGCCAGATGTGATAAGTGATAAATATCACCTTGCAGGTTTTGTTCTGTTTTGTTTAATAAATGCTTTCTTAGTTCTTTACTTGTTTTGGATATCTATTGTTGAGCTGTTAAAAGCTTGTCACAGTTGTCGTATTATTGGGATTCGTGTGGGGAAACCACTATAAGCTCTTAAAATTCATGGAGATGGGAACACTGAGCTGTTTTCAACTTCTGTGCTTTTATTGCATAGAAATGTTGAGAATATCTCATTTTGTGAACTCTCTGATTCATATTTATGAAAGGTGTGATTTAGTTCAGGTATGATACAGATCCTGCAAATAGAAAGCATTACTACCCAGAAGAGAGAAGAGGTAAAAGTTTTTCTTTCTTATTAAAAGTCAGAAGGTCAGTGATAGTTAAGACACTTGCTGAAACACTTATCTACATCGTAATATGTTTAGAACTTAATTACAATGCCAAAGGGAAGTAGAACTCAAGTCATTGTGGCACATTAAATGACTTATAGAGAGTCTTTCAACAGAGATGTTCATTATAATAGGAAGAATAGATTGTAGTGGATCTATTATTTTAAATAATTGCTGTATCTCTTTGCAGCATGTTCAGTGGCTGGTATTCCAGGTGCAAAGAAATGGTATTTTGCAAGTCATGTTATGTGTGGTTATTATCAGGTAAGATACACTTTTTTTTCAGAATATAAGTTCCCTAACTGTCTGCCTATCTGTAGAGCAAGTTAAAACTGTGATGTTCAAAATTCTTTTTGCTTAAAACGTCTTTTTGTTTGGTTAGTATTGCAGTTCTGATTGGGAGGAGGTAAATGTTGACACACAGAAAACTGAAGACTCTCTCCAAACAAGCATTGATGAATACCTGGGAGCCATACAAAACTTGGAGGAAGATGACAATAACAGTCGGGAGTCACTGTCTCTGACTGAGTATGCATATTAATATTTTAATTGCAAGTGTAGTGATCTGACATTTAACAGTAATAACCCAAGGAAATCAAGAAAATTTAACAAGTGAAAGTAACTACCAAAGCAACAGTTAACTATGTTAACTAGTAATCCCTTACTACTACTGAAAATAATTCTATTTTGTTTAACATAGCTTTAATTTTTTTAGTTACAGATGATTTTTATAGGGTAACTGAACAGTTTCCTAACAGCTGACATTTGTATATACAGAAAAAAATTACTTGCTAATCCATCTTGAATCCTACTTCCAGTTTTACTGCAGATTATTTTGATGTCATTAGGCTTACTTCTGCCTCAGTAAAAGAGGAGATAAGTATTTCTCATTGCCTAGGTATATGTTTGTGCAGAGTTTTAAAGATGTGAGATACTTACATCAGGTAGTCCTTGTTAGTTGTACCTTTTGGTTTCTAAATGATTTTGTTTATATTTTGTTTCTAACCATGTTGCTCTTCATTTTCAGTATCTATGATGAAGCTGCTGAAAGTCTGCATCAGTTAGCTGATAAACTGCCTGCCCCAGGTAATCTCTCTTTAAAAAGCAATCTCATTGGAGATTATCTTCTTAGTTATTACTCTAAAAACTCGTGTGGTAAAATCATAGTCAAATTAAAAAATTCAGAGGATATTAGTTTGTTAGCTGAATTACCTTAATGCAGCTCTTGCAGGTAGTTAAAGAACTGAGCATGGTTGGCATTGCAAATCAACTTATGGACTAGTTTGCTTGTTTCTTTGGAAGGCTGTATGTCAGTAGAGCTTAAGGTGGATATTGATATAATTAATTTTTCCACCTAACATGACGTCGAAGTCGTAATAGTAGTAAGCACCACAAAACTCAACAGGAAGTTTTTTATGAAAATAAAGGAAGATGTTGACATCAAGCTTACATCTAAGTTGCCAGCTGACTGCTTGTGGGTGGGAGTCAAGAAGCTGAGAAGGAAAATATATCAGAACTATTGATTTAGATTTTACAAACTGGAGATAAGTATCACCTTGCAGGTTAGGGTTACGTAATGTTGCAGTGGTTGATTTGGGATAGCAAAGGAATGTAGGAAGAACGACAATCATAGAATCATTAAGGTTGGAAAAGACCTCTAGGATCATCGAGTCCAACCTTTGACTAAACACCTTGTCAACTAAACCATGGCACTAAGAGCCACGTCCAGTCTTTCCTTAAGCACCTCCAGGAATGGTGACTTCACCACCTCCCTGGACAGTCCATTTCAATATCTAATCACCTTTTCTGTGAAGAAATTCTTCCCAATGTCCAACTTAAACCTCCCCTGGTGCAGCTTAAGACTATGTCCTCTTGTCCTATCACTAATTGCCTGGGAGAAGAGTCCAAGCACCTCCTGGCTACAACCACCTGAAAGGAGGTTGTCTCACCAGACAGTGAGAAAGTCTCCCCTGAGCCTCCTCCAGGCTAAAGAACCCCAGCTCCCTCAGCTGCTCCTTGTAGGACTTGTGCTGCAGACCCTTCAGAAGCTTCATTACCCATCTCTGGATTTGCTCCAGCACCTGAATGTCCTTCCTGAACTGAAGAAGGACAGAGTTGAACACAGGATTCGATGTGTGGCCTCTCAGTGCTATGAGAAAATATATCTAGAGATTAAATCTAGATTATTAAATCTAGAGATTAGAGTGTTAAAAGAAGGGAAATGAAGTAGCATAGTTGTATGGGAGACAACTCTCATCTGTCAGTGCTGAGTGAGAGAGGAGAAAGGTATAGAACCACTGTCACTGAGGGAATGGCAAAATGTTTTTTGTTCATTTAAGAGGAGCAGCAAGTGATGAGCTAAAAATGCATGGTTAGATCTCACTGAAGTTACTTGAAGCTGATATTTTAGCCCGTTTTAATGCAATCAGTGATAATCAGAACTTTTCTATCTTTAAATGATTGAATAATTTCCTGAATCATGGTACTTTGAGTCATATATAACTGTTTTTATAGGCAGAGCGATGGTTGATGTAATACTGCAGGCTGTTGAACGAGATGGACCCAAGTTGAAAGACTGCTTACCTGCTATTGGTGCCCTGAAACACCTGAGAGAATGGCACTCTGCACAGATCACTATTGCAGCAAATGATGCAAAAGGGTATGGCATTTATTTCAGGGCTGTAAACAAGGTCACTCCTGTTTTGTGTTAGCATAGGTCAGTGGTTTTAAATAAAAACAGCATCTTGAATATTTTACGTGTTTACTTTGAAAATACAAAGATTAGTCTATTACTGTATGAGGGCAGAAATTACTCATGCTGATTTGTTGTAAATACATGCCCTAACCAGAGAGGCAGACAAAAAAGCAAGTCCTCTGAACTTCTTGTTTTCTCTAGGAGGAAAAGGTAAATTTTTTTCTCTTCCCTATTGTCTTTAGTGTGCATACAGTGTTTTGAAGTTGTTGTACTATGCTACATAATAACTTGTATATTGATTTTAGTTTTCCAGGTTTTTTTTTAAATGAATCCATACCTCTGCTGATTTGACTTAAAATTTTACATTACTTTAATTATCTTTGGTATTACATTTCAGAGAGGAAGAATAGTGTCTGATTTGTCCCTTCTGAAAAAGGAGTATAAATGCTCAATTACTTCCTATATGCTTCTGAAGAATTTATTGTTCTGAAGAGTCACTGAGGCTATTAATTCAAGTTGAAATTCAGTCCAGTAGTTTCCTTACTGCCCTCCTCCAATTGACATAAAAAGGCCATGATAAATCACAGTAGTTTGGGGTTTTTTCCCCCACACAGTGAATGATTGTGTGGATACTGAATAACTTGGCAAAGTTACCTCCACTTCCCTTCCCCTCCATGCCCAAAAGATTCAAGTTTGCTTTGTAGAATGTGTGGTTAAGCTTAATCCTAAATTAATAAAACTGTTGAAAATTAAAAAGTTGAATGTTCAGTCCTTGGATAGAATAAGCAATATACCTACTACATAGTACTCTCTGAGGTATATGGAGGATGATAAACTTACTGCAGGGACTTCCATGAGCATTTGATCTCAGTGCTCATTGGTATCATCCTGTGGAATCAACTTTTGACTGAATAAATGCTTCTGCTGCCTTTTATGTCATCATGGCTGGGCTTCGCAAACGAAGATTTAGGAAGGCTCTATCCATGTTTGTTACAAGCACGCTGGTGGCTAATGAGGCCAATGCGAGATAGACATATCCGATTGCAAAAGGCACAGCAGAAAGACTCCTTAGGAGGTATATTCTGCAGGGCACGATTCTTTCTGTGTTGTCTTTTCTCCTTGAGAGTGATCCTGCGTGCGTTCTCAAAGGAAACATCAGTGTTATAGGTGGTGTGTCTCCAGGCCTCCCGATTTGAGGCCAGAGTGGACCAGTTATGGTGATCAGTATGGCCAAGGCTGAGATGTTGTTTCAGGGAGTCCTTGTATCTTCTCTTTAGGGCTCCTCTCTTGCAGCAGCCAGTGGCAAGTTCACCATAAAGCAAGATCTCAGGGAGGCAGTGGTCCTTCGTCCTTGAGATGTGCCCTGCCCAACACAGCTGTGTTCTCAGCAACATGGCCTCAATACTTGTGATTGCTGCTTGTTCTAGAACAGATGTATTGGTCACATAATCTGACCAGTGGATGTTTAGGATTGTACAGAGACAGCGTTGATGGAAGTGTTCTAAGAGACGCAGGTGGTGGCGGTAGATGACCCATGATTCAGATCCATATAAGAGGGTAGACAGCACAATGGCTTTGTAAACACTGATCTTGGTACTTTTCTTCAAGTGTTTATTACGCCATACTCTTTTGTGGAGTTTTCCAAAAGCACTATATGCCTTTGCTAACCTGTTGTCTATCTCTCCATCAATCTTACCATCCGAGGAGATGAGGCTACCTAGGTAATTAAACTGCTGGACTGATTTGAGCTCTGATTGGCCAATGGTGATGTGGGGATGATGGGGGACTTCCTGAGGTGCAGGTTGATAGAGAACTTCTGTCTTCTTTAAGCTGACTTCCAGCCCAAAGAGCTCAGCAGCATCTGCAAAGCAGGATGTTAAACGCTGCAGAGCTGCTTCTGTGTGGGCGACAAGGGCGGCGTCATCAGCATAAAGCAGCTCCCAGACAAGATGGTTTAAGGTCTTGGTGTGGGCCTTCAGTCACCTTAGGTTGAAAAGGCTTCCATCAGTACGGTATCGAATGTAGATACCGTCCTGATCATTGATATCTGCCATGGCCCTTTGGAGCATCATGCTGAAAAAGACTGTGAATAGGGTTGGTGCAAAACGCAACCTTGTTTCACGCCATTGGTTATTAGAAAGGGCTCAGAAAGTGCATCACCATATCTGACTTGGCTGTGCTGACCCTCATGGAGTGAGATGATCATTTTAAGGAACTTGGGGGGACATCCTAAACGTTCCAAAATCTGCCATAGACCTTTTCTGCTCACAGTATCGAAAGCTTTGGTGAGATCAACAAAGGTTACATAGAGACCTTTATTCTGTTCCCTGCACCACTCTTGCAGTTGTCTGAGTAGCCTTTTATGTAAAATGAGGCCATTTGGGCATAGAGTATCTCTGGTGAAAGTTACCTCACTTATTCTTCCTGTTCTGCTGATGATGCTGTTTTCAATTAGAAGACAGACTGCCCCTAGAACCCACAGATACTGACTGTTCTCTCTCTTGTTGAATTTGGGTAATGCTTGTGCCGCAGTCTATTTACTCTGCTTAGAAGGTTAACTACAAACCATCTAGAGGGACCAGTGATAGCCCCAATGATGGCTACCTGACTTTGCTGCAGCTTCTAGCACCCAGCTTTACTATGGTCTGCCTGCAGCTTGCCATTGCCAGTCTTATTTGATTTCTGTCAAAGTTCTTTGCTCTCACCTTCATGGAACATGTGAACACCTTCCTTTACAGAGCCTGAATGAGAAATTCTGTAATATTTTTTACTTTGTGAAATACAAAGCTATATATGTCTGTCTTAACATACACAAGACCGTTCAGTGCTAAGAGGTGATAGGTAAATTCAGTCAAACTGCACTTCATGTTAATTTGTAATACTAAATTCAGTAAGATTAACTCCATATTTTTGCAGTAGCTGGCAAAAGATTGCAGACTATCTATCAGCAGACTTTGTGTCTTCAGATGATATCATGAATATTATTGATTTAAAGGAACTCTGGAGAGGAAAGATTCAGATATGGGAAAGAAAGGTAAAATAATTTTTTCAGCTGTGGTAATTTTTAAAGCATCTATGTTTCTCATTTAGAGCGTGTATTGTACAGTGCATTTTAAGCTTTAAGCCAGATTTGGTTTTGACAGTGTAATTCAAAGAACTAGTGTGCAATCTGTCTGGGTGGGTGGTGGAATAACTTGCTTTTTTAGCATGATGAAAGGATAAATGAGGTTAATGCATCAAGATTTGAACTTGAAATCCAGTTGCTCTCCTCTGAAATATTTGTTGAGACAACTTATTGTTCAAAACTATATTGTTTTCTATCTATCACAAATAATTATTATGTAATTGTAAGTCATTGTTGCAAGTGCACATCTCATGTTTCAGCAAAGACTGAAAACTTTGTGACTGTGAAAGGCATTGTTTACGTTTTCAGTATTAAGGTTTTGGATTTAGTACTTGGTTATCTAAGTGCAGTACTTTTACTTAGTTTTACAGATCTGATGGAAACAAATATAATACTAATTGTTAAAAATAATAATACATCTAACTGGCTGAAAAGAAATAATTTTTATCTCTTTTTTTGACACATTTATTGTCTTTCTTTCCCTCCAGTTTGGATCAGGAGTTGACTTTCCAGAATTTTGTATAAAAAGCACTTCAGCAAAGACATTCAGCACTGCACATTTAAGTTCTTGCCTTGCTGGTAAAAAAGAGCAGCAATCAAGGAATACTGATACTTTGCCAGAAGCAAGTATTATTCTTGATCTTTCTTTTACTTTTAGAATTCATCTGTTTTACTTTCCTGAGAAAATTAGTAACTGGGGAAACTCTAGTCAGAACCAAAAGTTAAACATAAAAGTTTGGATTGGATAAGATTGAGGAATGCTTCTTTTGTTCATGTGTGTTATCAAAACAGGTCCTTAAAATTTCATCTGTTTTTCGTAGAAATACCATACCAAGATTTTTCCAAGTAGAAATTGAGACTTTGTTCAATCTTAATACTCAAAATATCTAATTTATGAATTCTGTATTAATTTAACCTTTTCCACTTAATTTTAAAAGTTTGGGATTTTTTGGTTTTTTTTACACTGTTGCTGTTTCATGTTTTCCACTGGAAGTAGACAGTTGATAGGAACTCCAGAATTGTATCTGTTGATGAAAACAAAAATGAGTGTTTATAAAAATTGGTATCAATTATGAATTTGTTATTTCATTGTTAAAATATATACATTTTGGATTGCATTTGTCTGTTCCTGGCAGAACTTATTTTTCTTTGGATAAGAGTTAGAACTCATTTGATGCACGTGGTTGACATTCTAGGAAGTAAGCTTTATTAAACAGAATTAAATACCCTCCTTGGTTTTTATATAATTATGTTTAATATAATATTGTGAATTGTTTTTCTATTCCTTTATATCTTTTAATCCTCTTTCAGATGTTATCTGTAAGGGAAATGCCCCTAGCAAAACACTTGAGAAAGTTATACTGAGATAACATCATACATTGTGTTACAGGTTTTTTGATTTGATGTCTTTTCAGGTTTTTCATTACTATGGTCCTGCCCTAGAATTTTTACAGATGGTGTTGCTCTCTGATCTACCCTCCATTTTTATATCAGATCTGGAATTTGAACTGTATCCTTTTTTTAAGTATCTAAACTACTACTGATAATTGTCTATAGCAGAAAAAAAACAATCAGAATCTACCTGTGCAAACAACAGAGAGATGGGGATTGCAAGGGCTCATTCCATTCTAGTCTGCCAAAATAGTCAGTGATTCTTCACCACTGGATTTTTTTAATTTTGAAATTTAAATTACTCTAACAATGACCAGATAGTGTTGATATTATCACACATATCATTTGTCTATTGATGTGCATGCTATTTGTGGGAAAAGAATAGAGAAATGTTTTTTTCTGTGTGAGTTTAAAAACCCTGAAGCCTTGCTAATTAATGAATGTAGCATGCTTCACAATATAGGATCATTTGCCCACAAATCATGTTTTTATTGTGCAGGGGCAAAATCTGTGGCAAGATGTAGCAGAGCAGTTTTCTTTTGTGTGTATGCTGCAGAGATCTCAAGGTTGGTTTTAAATGTATGTGCTTTGGGTACTAGTCTTGGGGAAACAATACTAGCTTAGGATGTATAAGTCTTCCATGATTTTGAATCTATAAGTATCTGTGGTGAGTTTTGTATGTTTTATGATACCGTTGTATCAAAGTGCATAAAAACTTAAACACTTGCAGTCCTTCTTTGAACTTGATTTGCAAAATTGAGATGCAGTTTTTTGTGAAGATGAGGTTCCTTAAACTGTTCCATTCAGGAGCCTGTCAAGAACAAAGAAAACATCTACGCTGCTTTTGGACCAGATTTCTTTTCTCTCCGGGAAGGTGAAAACTTCTTTTTAATTACATATAGCAGAAAAATGGAAGTATGTGTATTGTCTATAAAAGATACAGGAATAATATTTTTAAACCTAGTCTCTGTGTAAACCTCTTCAATATTTAGCTCTAAAGCAAATAGAGCTTTTAAAGATGTTTTTCTCTTTACCTTAGCTAAGTTTTAATCTGCTAAAACACTTTGCAACTTTTAATCATATCCTGAGAGATAATTTCTGTGCTATCATAATTGAACTATTGATTTTTTTAGCAAAAGGCTAAAAAGGCACATGTGCAGCCTACAAAATATATCTAGCTACTCTGAAGTGGTAAGCTTTTTTATTTTACATGTGCATATTCTGCTTTTACGTTCTGATTTTGGATAAAAAGGGTTCATGAAACATTTACAATCCTATTTTCCCCCTCCCTGCTTTGCCTTGGAATGATAGTGTGATTATTCATAGCCACAGTATTGTTTTGAAGATGTTTTTCCTGAATATCACCTTTACATAAAAGGTGATAGGGAAGTTTTTTAGTGTTTATAAAATAAATCTATGCCAATCAAAACAAAACCTGCAATGTTAAAATGCTGATACAGTTATTCTTAATAACTTATGTTCTTTATTTGCTATGGAGATGGTATCCCATTATCAGACTGTATGTTTCATTTCAGTTTATTATTTAGGGGTTTAGTGACTTTTTTTCTCCCCTGCCTCTCCATTCTCCATTATACTTAGCCAGAAAGGGAAAAGGTCCTTTTTCTAGTGCTGTACCAAAAATATCTTCTAGAATGGTTTTATATTGGTAAATATCCCAGGTAATTTTCATTTTACTTAAGGGTACTGAATATTTGGTCAAATATCTTTTACAGTCGAAGAGCTTGCATTTCCACTAGTTTTTTTAAAGTAGAAGCCAAAACAGTCAAAACACATTGTCAGATTACTTTTTAGAGTCTGCACATGATGAATTGAATGTATTTTGAAGATAACAGTTTCTCATAGGGATTTTTTTTTCAGTCTGCTGCTGGAAATATTGTGCATCTGTAGGCTTTTCTAATAACTGTAATAGCATTGTTTTATTGCTTGAGTATTCTAATACATGTGCATTTCTTTCTGTTAGTGCTTATTGGCCTGGAATCTATATAGAGACATAAACATAGTCCAGTATCTGATTAATGGAGAAGGGTAATATGTAGGAAGGAAAAAAAATAAAATTGCTTTTCAAAGGAATGCAGAGTCACTGATGCCAGCTAATATCTGTGAATTCTGTTCTCATTCTGGATACTACTCTACAGCAGTGTTTGTAGCCAGAATACTGAAAGAATTGTAATAGGTAATAAATATCTTTTTATCTATAAAATAGAAATTCAGCAGTTAATGATCTCTCAACTGGACTAAGAAGTAAATAAAACTTTTACAGCTTCTATGTCAAATGCTGTTCCATTTTGATTGATGTGAATTGACAGATGTGCTAAGATGTTTTTCATCAATTGAAGTACACTTGAAATAATGCCAAATCGATAGCTCAAGACTGAAATATAAAACAGGTTTCAGTAATATTGCATGTGTTGTACTTGCTCTCATTATTTAGGTGGGAGCTTTATTTACATTGCCATGTAATGTAAGCAGTGTAGTGATCCCATCTCCTGCCCAGCTGAGTACTAAGAAATGGAAGGAATATATGGCCAGGAAACCCAAGGTCATTACTGGTAGGTATATTTTGTTGTGGGTATATCTATTTGTGTACATGTATATATATATGGTGAGATTTTCCTATACATTTGGGATTCTCTTTTTGTCTTCAATGAAATTAGGTCAGTGATTGTTGTATTCATTGACACAAAAGGGTTTAGTGAATGCAAGTTCAGCTATGCAAACTTTCAGGAAAAAATGGATAATAACATCATGACAAGCTTTGGGGAAAATGCATCTTCTTTAAACCATTTTTGTGTCCTGTCTCTCAGCTAAGATCCAGCTTTCACACACCTTTGTAAGGTGACTGTAAAATCCATGGGCATAGAGGTTTGCTTCTGCAGATGGAATTCCAGCCTGCTTCAGTTAGGTGCTTCCCTTCTCTTTTAAGACTGACTGTTTTTGTTGCCAGCTGGATAGCTTTTGTAAACAAGTATGCAGATGAGGGTGGCTGGCAGACTGATATTATTTCACCTCTAGAGGTAGGAAAAAATTGAGAGGAATTAGGAAGAGTTGTATAACAGGGCAAAAAGCTTTATGGAATGGATACTGGAAGTATATAGATTTAAAATTATCTCTGCATGTTTGGAGGTGGTAGAGAGGGTGTGAGATACACAGATATATATATATATACACACACACACATATATATGTACATATATATGTGTGTATATATATATATGTATATACATATGCAGCAGCAGTATTTATGTTTATTGGAGAGATACTACTGATGCAGTCAAATGAGTGCGAGATCCCCAATGTCTGCAAGATCTCTGTCCTGTGTTCCAGTGGAAGGGTTTTGTACAAATATTAACTATAATATGATCAGTAACATACAGTAGGTTCTTTATTAGGCCTCTTGAATAAAATTTAGAATAGGAGGAGAAACATGACCATTTAAACGTGTTTGCTTATTTAGTTGAAAAGTGTTGATTTTTTTTAGTGGCTGCTACTAATCTGACCATACTAAGATTTGTTAATCCTTAGTGTCTTTGATCTGTGGGAAGGTGTAATTCTTGGAATTGGTAGTTCTCAAATGCTAAGATTAAAGTCAAAAATAAAAACTTACCTGTGAGGAATCAGCTATGAGATGCCAAGATAAAATGGAAAAGGAAAATATTTCAAATTACTAGGGGAATGGGACAATAGTGAAAATATTTCTGGAATCTTTTTCACTTTATTGTTCTATTTTCTTTCTCTGGATTTATATATTGAGGTAGCACGGTTTGCCCTTCTCTTTCCTTCAGCTTCCAGCTTAAAATTTTCAATAAATACTGGAATATTTTATATTTGTTACTAACAAAAATTTATAATGCTAATAAATATTAAGCTCCTGTTGCATTAATTATTGAGATAGTATTGCAAGTATGAAATTATTTGACTGTTAAAGCTTAGTACATCAAGAAGTATTCACTCTCTCAATTGCTGCATTTACCAAGGTGCTATAAAATGTTTTCTGTCTAAAAAGATAGCAAACCCATCCTTCCACTTTTTCTGTCAAGTCCCACAATAATTTATTTTCAAAACTGCAAACTATATGCCAGTGTTTAAAAACAGAATGTCTTTATCTCTCACGCAGACTATGCACAAGGGTAAAGTAGGGAGTGAAGCTTCCATTAATGAATAATGCAGTGTCCTTGGGAAGAGAGTATAGTATTTCCTTTTCTTCTACAGTTGTATGTTCTTCCAGTGAACACTTATATTATTTCAATGCACATATGAAAAAAGGCCTTTTTTTACCTAGCAGAACAGAAACTTCTCTTCACTGTTTCATGGTAGAAATGTAACTTTGCCAGTTAAAGAACTTCTCTGAGTGGTGGTTGGAGTTGCCAGCTATACTCTGTAGTCTGCATTAGAAAGCTGGCCCTCCTGACAGTCACAGGAGTTGGGTGCTGGTAATGTGCTGGCTTTAAGGCAGCAGCATTGTCCAGCTCAGATTTGCTACTGTCGTTCATTTATTTTGCATGCTCTTCAGTTTGTAGCTTTACAGGGGGTAAATATCACCTGTAGTTGCTGTTTCTCCTCAAAAGATGCAAGATTTCTCACAGAAGAGGAGAGAGCAAGTGTAAGAAATTTGATGGTGGTTTATAGCTTGTTTTAAAGCTGTTTTTCTGAGGGTGTTTCACAGTTATGTCCTGATGTTTGTGAAGTTCCAGAAGTTGAACTGAAAGGAGAATCTTGCCGATACTATTTCTTGCTACAAGGCAACGGCTCTGGAGGATGTAAAGCAACCCTGATTCATTCAGCTGGCCAGATCAATGGTATGGCCACTCTTGCTGCAGTAAATGGAAGGTTAAAGACAAGAGCAGAAGAAACAGAGTCAAGTAAGAGTAATTGCTTATTTATTTAAGAATATCTGAATGCAGGCAAATGCTACTCAATTTCATATGTTCCTTTTATTCATTCCAGTCAGTGTTAAAATGGAGAAAACAAGGAAGAATATTACATTTTTTATAAATGTGTCTATTAGCAATATTTGTCAAATTCATAAAAAATATAATGAACTTATTTATTCACAGAATTTACTGCTACCATATTTTTTAAATCAACTATGTAAAGTTACAGTCAGTGAGATTAGTTGAAAATTGTTTTTTAAAGGGACATCCAGGTAATATTAGTGCAAATCAAATTCTTGAAAACTTAAAGTTTAAAAAGTATGTATTGCTGATGTAAAGACTGCCTAGCCCATGCCAAAAATCTAGGTAAATATCAGTTGAAAATCCTGTTTCACTGATGTATCATAGCTGCTCCACTAAGTAAGAGCATGTATCTAGACATTTATCTTAGATTAGTTATCCTGTACAACTACACATATTAGTTAACTCTACTAATTCCTGTATTTGTTTCAATAATGCTGACAAAGAAAAAGAGCACAGTGACCTGCATCTTATCCACTTAATTCCTTATTATCGAAATAAATCAATGTGTGATATGACTGACTACTTGCCATTTATCCTAATTAAAATCCCATTAGTACAGTGTCAGAGAACTGAAAGTCCTTGACCACATATTGGGAAAAAACTTTTCTTTCTTTTCTGTTTTGATCCTAAGTATCAAACTTAGGATCTTTTTACCCTCTTTAAATGTTAGTCAAGTTAATTGTGTTGTCATATTGGTTTTGTACAGAAATCCAAAAACGCTAGTCAGACATCTCTTCCAAGTTATCCTGATGTTCAATTGTAATTGGTTTGTTTGGGTTTTTTTTAATGATTAGCCATATTTGAAAGTCTGGTTGTTTCCTATTAATATGAAATTTCTATGTCTGCAATGTTTATGTTTTCTAAAAAGAAGTAATGATTCCAAAGTCCTGTGAGAGATTCTTAATAAAAACTTCTCCTAATCTGTACAGGCTTTTGTATTGCTGACTTCATCCAGTCGCTGCCACGCTTCTGTGGAGAGCAGATTGTACAAAGAGAAATGAAACTGTCTCATCTCCAAGTGTTTGCCTTGAAAGAATATCTCAGTAAGTAATGGGGAAAGCACTGGTAATTCTCATTAAAAGTATTTGAAAGCTCTTTATGTCAAACTGAATGTGATGGCTCAGTTTACAAAACCGAAGTGAGTTGATCACTTTGTGAAGAAATAGTGAAGGTTTAAAAAGAAACTTCGTAGTATATTCATGATTGTGTGTCAGATAATGAAAAAGAGAACACTGAATTAAGGTTGGTGGCTGCTTGTTACACTGTTACTCTGTTTGAGCATAGTTTTGGAATAATTTTGTGGTAATTCTGTGATGATTTCCCCAAAAACCCTTACTGCTGGATATGTCTTCTACAAAAATAAGAATTCTGTTTCTGATTTTTCAGAGTTTTTAAAAATTTATTCTTTATTGCAAAAGTCTTCAACAGCAGAGGAAAAATATGCATTGGATATTTGTTAGATTTATCATGAAGCATCGTTTGTAAGCTGAAAGGTCATCCTCTGTAGATTTTCATGAGAAGTACATTTGAGTGTCCTGATTTTTTCCATCCAAGTCCATTGCTCTAAGAGACTCAATTAAAAGAAAAAATGCTTCTGAGAGATTGGCTGGCTTATAGAAAATGGCATTCTGTGAAGATTATATAAGTGTATTATCATTAACAGAATAGCATCTTAAAGAAAAGAAGATTCCTGCTAATAGTCTCGTCTTCCACCCCCTGCCCCCTGCCAGCTTGCAGTCATTCTCAGAGTCCTGTCAGCTTCAGCCCTGAGCTTGGGGCTGCTTTAGAGCTTGTGTTTTAATTTCGAGTGGATCATCCATTTCCATTAGGATGAAGACTGAATAGGAGCAGTTGGGATTGACTGATCATCCCTAATCATACCAGAATTACCTGGCCCTTGATATTCTGACCAAAGAGACCAGAGCAGGCTCTTAGTTACACTGAAGCCACACTCCTGCACCAGCAGCAAAAATAGGTGGGTGGGAGGCTCTGCAGGCTGCAGCTTTTCACATTTAGGCTCAGCAAGTCCAAGATATTTGTCTCTGGGGAATCCAAAACTGGATGTACTCAGAAATGCATGTATACAGAAATTAAAGGACTGTAAAAATGGGATTCACATGTGACTTCAGCTATTCTCAGTTGTCTGTGGAATAAACCACCCATGTCTTGCTAAAGGGTTCAATAGTAAATGTTAAGTTAACTTACTTGTGTTATTGGTTTTGGGTGGATATTTTCTTGTTTAGTTAGTTTTTAGCAGGGTCCAGTTGTTCTTTGTTACTTAGTAGGTGCAGTACCTTTTCTTTTTCCTTTTATAGAGAGAAAGGAATTGACTAAGAAGCCTCCGGTTATTTCTACCAGTGAGTTCAAAATTTTATTAAAACTTACAAGAGAATGTTTTTTGGACCTGTGCAACACTAGTCTTCCTAACCATGATCTACAGAAGGTTTCCAATAAAACTATGTCATGCACTGTGACTTGTGGTGAGTATTGTTCTTTAGGAAATACGCTGCTTATTCTCTTTTGATGTTTTTTTCCTACCGGTCGTCAATTTGTTACTTTTACCAAAAGAGGAAAACATATAAGGAAAAGTAAAGTAGCTTTCTAGGGTTTTTTTGCAAACTGAAATGACCCTTACCTTACCTATTTCCTTTCTTTTCCTTAACAAAAAAATTGTGCAGAAAATGTTTCTGATTGCATCATCAGACAGATTTTCCATTTATTTATGTAATTTATATATGTGCCTTAAGGAATATCTATATATAAAGGAATGTGTATATATATGAGTTTATACATATATATTTCTTTAAACAATAAGATTGCTTATTAAGGGTTATCCACCATATATTTCTTGCAGAGCCTGATTTAATGGAGACAAATCCATTGGAATGGCCAGAAAGACATGTTCTTCAGAATTTGGAAAACTTCGAAAAAAACAAACAAAAAACGAGGTAATAATGAAATACTGAAGATTTTCTTTGCAGCGGCCATTGAACATTACTGTAGAGGAACTTCAAATGTTGATAGCCATTGTGTAAACTGTTTTCAAGTATATTATAATCTTTCAAAGAAAATATTGCTTACAGCTAAAACTAATTTTCTGTCAATTTCCAAAGATGTATTTTCTGGGTATTGAAAGTAGTATTGTTTTGAATATGATTGACTAAATGCAAGTGAAATTTAGCTTAAAATAGCATAGTTCTAAAACTGAATTACCAAAATGACACTTCTAGAAAATAGTAGCCTTGGCAGAAAAACACATAGAAGCTTTTCTTTCTCCCAACATGCCCTAAGTAATAGAGATAATTTAGCATTTTTTGTGAGCATGTGTTTATAATCTCCTTGTATTTCCAAGATAGTACTTAAGTCATGTCTCAAGTCATTTTAAAGTCGAAGATCCTATTGGCTTTATGTTTGACATTTACATTTAGTTCTGTTTTTCCTTCAGTACTGTTCAAGTGAAACCTGTAGACCTTTCTGTCACTTAATACAGCTTATTGATTTAAGTTTAGTTCTCACTTCATATAAGACTTAATAGTCTTTGCTGGTCTTAATGTTTTTGCTGGGAGACCTTTACAGCCAGTTGTCCAACTGTATTTTTCTTAATCACTTCCATCCCATTTCTCTCTTTCAAATACTGTAGTTGGCCATGGCTTAGATTGGAGTTCTGCATGTGAGGAATTCTCACATTAGATCTCTGCTTTTTTGTGGTTGTCGCTGCTATTATTATTAATGGCTTTTCTTTCTCAGACAGGTAAAGTTCTTCCTTCTAATTAGCTTTCAAAAACCTTCCTGAAGGACCTTTCTGTTTCATAGTCAGTGTTTATTTCATTGTATTCTGAATGATGATCTTTCTTATCCTCTCTCAGTGTACAGCATATTGCTCAACAGTAGAAAAGAGAGAACTTTGCTGTACTTGATTGAAGACACTAAAAAAGAGTGGAAGTTTGGATGCAGTAGTGGCTTTATGGTTCTAAATTCTTGAAGAAATTACTTCTTTTTAGCAGAATGCTAGAGAATTTGCATCAAATATAGTTTATCATGAACATTGGTGTGAATGTTCTCAAGGAGCAAGCTTACTCATTTTACTTTGGCAATAGTTTAATTGTTCCAGACTAGCAGTTATTTAATTTATTTTTTCTTAATACCATGAGATTACTAAAGAAAAGAAAAAAATCTTAGATTGGTCTTTAGTGTTTGGTTTTTTTTTTTTCCTTTTTTCAGAGTTTCTCTGTTTGCACATTCATCTGAGCAGTTGCTGGGGCATAAAGACAGCCAGCGGGAGTCACTGACATTGCTCGATGCTAAAGAATTACTGAAATATTTCACACCAGAAGGGCTGCCAGTTGGTGATCTTCAGCCACTCCAAATTCCCAAGCGGTAAGAATCCAGCATATTAAAGCAGACCATACTCAGAGCTGATGGAGGGGAGTTACAAATAAGGACTGATTGAGAGTCACAGAATGGTGTAGCTGGATATGAGTTTAAAACTTGTAACATCCTTGCATTACATACCTGCCAGTGAAATCAACTGTTTTGCTCCTCCAGCCAGTCTTACTAATTAATTCTTTCAGGATCTGAAATGGCTGGAGATGATGATGATGTTTGTCCTATGCATTTAAATAACAAAATAATCACCTGAAGTGGAAAAAACGTGCTAGTGGACTCCTGGCAAGCTGCTGAAATGTGTGCATTTTCAAAATAGTATTTCTATCCAAGCAGAAATACTGTGGCAGAACTTTAATTTTATTGGTGTGATTTCTTTCAGTGGGGGGGAGTCTAGGTGGGAAGAAAATTGCAGTGTAGAAAAGCAATAGCTGAGCCTGTTTTACTGTGTTCGTCTCCTGTCATGCTGGCCCAGAATTCCTATCTATATTTTTATGTGGTAAAGTGCTCCTTAAAGGAAGCTTATCTACTCTGGTGGCTTCACAAGTATTTATCCTTAGTGTGTCTGCTGGTAAGTATTAGTGTATTAACCAGTACTTTTGCAGCAGGAAGATTGATACATGGAGTTAATGGAGTAATTTTCCGGATCTGAACATCTGTTAGAGTTAAGGCCAGACTGTGTGAGAGTCAGATAGTGTTTGCCTGTATTATTTGTGCAGTGTGTTACAGATTTCTAGGTAAGGCAAGACAATCTTTGCAGTCACTAGAATTATGTTTGTTGACCTTTTTAACGTTGAATAATAGAATCTGTAATGGACTTATTTGATACAGCCCTCGATCCTTTTTCAGACTTCATTATATGTAATAGGAATGCTTCTTGAGAGGGAAAGGTACTGTAATATTTTGGATTTTCTGTAGGATTCTTAAGACTTCTGTAAAATACTTACTGGAGTTGTGAAACTAGCCTCAAGATGTTCTGAGCAGAGAATTCAAGCAAGTTAGAAAATATGCAATGAAGATTGAGAATCTTCTACTGAGTTGTTAGACCAACAGAAGGAATTAAGAGATTTTGAGAGAGACTGATGAATTAAAGGCATGTTCACTTGTTTTACATGTTTGAGTTTAAATAGAAGTTTAATAGATTACAGTTTTGGCTGACAGTCTTTCTAAATTACCATCTTGCTGGATTCAGTATCACATCTTTCCTGGATGTTTTTCCCAGATAATTTTTACAGTGGTAATGGTACAGAGACAGTCTGTGTGAATAAAATTTGAAGCAATATGTACGTTTCAGATACTCCTACATCTTGCCTTCATCTCTTCCCTTCTTTAGAGATAAATGAGATGTGACAGGGTATGCTGGGATCTGGCAGCAAATGCTTTCTGTCTGTCTCGCTATGGCTTATTCTGTTGAAATGCTTTCAAACAAATGCATTCATGTGATTTAGTTGCAGAGAGTTTCTAGCTGGAATTGAAATATCACAGGAGACAAGTGGTTAGTTATAAAGTCTGGCAAAGGTGACTGTGAGGTGAGACAACAAGATAAAGGGAAGGAATTCACTGCTATAGTGCTGGATTGAGAAATGGGAGGTCAGTTCCCAGTTCCTTTCAGTCCATTCTACTACTCAGGTGTCCCATTGTGAAATGGAATGATATTTACCTGGGTTTATTGATAAGTTATTTGGAGCAGTGACCTTAACTGGTTGAAATGTCTAAGAGCTTCTGTAATATTAATAGCTCAGTAGGAATTAGTTAGTTGAACTTACATTGTCACTTCAATAAACATTTAATTTTCCATTGATGCTTTACCCCAGAGGCTTTGCCAAAGCTGGCATGCTGGTTTAGTCTTCCTATACCATGGCATTTTTTTCTGATTTTTGGAAGTATAATTTATCCTGACTGTAGCTTGTTAAAATAGATCCGTTTTTTTCTTTTTTTCAGTGAAAATGCATTTCTTTTGACACCAGAGCTTACTCCTCGGAAGCTCAGAGGTTTGCCTTTTGAAAAAGCAGCTGGATGCCATTATCATGGACTTGAGTAAGTGTCCTGGCTTTTTTTCCCAGAATTATTTTTTAGTTTCCAGTCTGGGTATAATTGGAAATGTTTCAAGCAACATGTGTGTTAATTATGGAAAATTTTATGTATCCTTTTTCTTTGTTGGAACAACTTTGCACGTGCCAGCTCTCCCTTTCTTACCTTTATTTTAGTTACTGGTTTAAATTGCAACACTCCTGCCTTGATGGTAATGTAAAAACATTTAAGTTTTTTCTAAGCTGTACTGTTGTAGCTATTCTCAGTGTCTCTGTAAATTTTAATTCAGAACTAAAAGTGTCAGGGAAAATAGGGTTCATTAGTACATATCGAATTCCTGGGGCAGCACATGAGTGAAGTACATACATAGCTCCTACTTTGATATTTAATTGTAGACACTTTTAGAACAGTCAGGAGGTTTATGAGACCTGCTGTGGTGCTACCTGTGTGTTCAGGGAACCTGAAAACAACTCTAGCAGGCAAGTGTTAGTGGTAAGAATGTTCAAAAGGATCAATATGATTAGGACTGTGTTTAGTCCCAGCCAGCCAGAAATAGTTATTTGTTAAAGCTTCATCATATAATGTAGCTGTATAAAAATAGTTTAGAAAAACAGAAATATTGACATTGAGAAGAAGAGGAAAGACATAGAGAAATGCTAGAGTAAATAAGTCAGCATAACTCTTCCCTGTCATTCCTGAGCTTGGAGGAGATGCTCCTTGAATATTCACCATTTCCCTTGGGCTCCTCTTCCCTCCGGAGGCTTTATCCCATGATACTCTACCAAGCAGATCCATGAAGAGGCCAAAGTCTAATCTCCTGAAGTCCAGGGTAGTGAGCTTGCTGTGTGCCCTCCTTGCTGCCCTGAGGATCTCAAACTGCACTAGTTAATGGCTGCACTAGTTAAAGGCTGCCCTTGAGCTTCACATTCCCAACAAGCTCCTTCTTGTTGGTGGGAGGGAACAAGGTCCAGCAGAGCATCTCACCTCACTCAGAAAAGGAAGTTATCAGCTCATTCCAGGAACCTCCCAGATTGCCTATGCCCTGCTGTATTGTCTCTCCAACAGGTATTGGGGTGATTGAAGTCCCCCATGCAGACCAGGACTTGTGAGGCTGTTCCTATTTATGATTAAATTAAATTTTTGGTGTAATGAATGTGTGCCAGACACTTGAATCTTGTGTTGCAAAGAAAAAGTAATTGCCATTAAAGCAGTGAGTAAAATGGCAATTTAATTTGTAAAGTTAAATAGATTTTTTTATCTTTATAGAGGATGTGACTACTCAGGGGACTGAGAATATAATAAGGAAAATTAAATACCTTGAAATTTTTAAGTTAAGAGAGCTTACTCTCTTATCAGATAATGAATTTATTTCTAGTGGAAAGTCTTACTCAACTGTAGAAATGGACTCATCAGTCAGTTATTAGAAAAGTGAATTTCTCCCTGAATATGAAGATACTCTGAAGAAAGTAGAGAAATCAGATCTAGCATTTTAACATGATTTCATGTTAAGAGACAAAAGTAAAGAATGTGTCTGGAGTTCCTAAGAGTGGGAAACATTGCTGAGCAGCTTGGAGGGTGGGCTGAGTGATAGCTCACACTGTTCAGAATACTTCATAAGAAAAAGGATGAAATAATACTGGACAATACTGTTACCTTTCCCCAGCAGAGGTAATGTAAGTTTCTGGGTGATGAAACACTGAGCTCTTCCAAGGAATCTTGGAAATCATTTACACCAGAGAAAAGTTAGTTAAGATGGGTTTTGTATTGTAATCTCTTCTGTAGGTTTCACTGGGCTAGAAATACTCATTTGGTATCTTTCAGCTCCACTGTATTTAATACAATTTGTTTTGTTGATTTCATTGATTAAACTGCTTATTCATTGTAGTCGATAAGAAACACTTTTTTGTATTTTTAGCATTTAAAAAATGTGAATCTCTCATACAGCACTGTTTTTCTGGGACAAAGCTAAAGGTTTCACTTCAAAGGTGCAGTTAGCAAACACTTTTTGTTCAAGGAAAAAATTCTGCTAATGTCCATGGAAATCTTATTTATAAGACCACAGGGTAAAGACTTGCAAAGAATATATGATTCAGCTTCTTTGTTGGAGTTGGACTTAAATATAGCTAAATCCATAAGGTATGTGTTAATTTACTGGGCGGTTATAAATTATCTTTCAGAACAATACACCAGTTCAAATGAAAAAAAGTTTTGCAGTTGACACGATTGTCAAAAGTAAGTTTTTCTGACTGTAATAAAGCAGAGACTTTCTCTCACAGGTTTCTCACCAATTTCAATTTCAGATATTGTCTAGATGACAGAAGAGCCTTAGAGAGAGATGTGGGATATGCTGAACTTCAAACTCGTCTTATTCGCTATGAAACTCAGACTACTTGCACCAAAGAGTGCTGCCCTGTGCCAGTTGTCTTGAGTCCTCTCCCATCTCCCGCAGTCTTGTCAGAGCCTGGAAGTGTCCCTGATGGAGAGTCTTTGCAAAGCGAATTCAAAACAGAGACATCAAGGCTAAAGCGCAGATCAAAAGACTTGGATTGCTTTTATCCCAAGAAAAGGTAATGCACTGAATAAAATGAATCTTTAGCATGAAGTATTTCAGTGGTCTCTTGTGAACTGCATCTTTTCTTTCATCTCAAAATGTTTTAGTGAAGCTATCTAGACAAATGTTCTAGTTGTTTAATCCTCCTCTGTGGACTCATTTTTTTTCTCAAGTGTGACCTCTCATTGATAGCATTAGATTAATCAAAAACCATGTGGCACAGGCAGCTTTTATTTAAGAGATGCGGGGTTGTATCTTGCAGAGTCTCAAGTGCCTTTGAAAAGATGACAGATAGCCTCATCTAGGACTGAAACTGTCACTGTTGCTGCAGTACAAATAAACAACTAGAGGTTTGGAAAGCCAAGTACTGTACAAACAGAATAATTGAATTGCTAATCCAAAGGACTGCTGGCATAAGATGACCTACCAAAACTCAATCTTATTGTCAGCCTTGTTTATTAAAGTCTTTTCTGCAACTTTAGTTTTTAAGATTTTCCTTTGTACCTTGTCCTCACTCTGAAGATGCAAAGTCTTTGTGTCAATGAAAAACAGCTGCTATGTAACACTATTTCTGAATGCACTTTTTACTATAATACTTCACTTCGTCCTTCTTTCCAGTCTGATACCCTTTGCAGTCTAATCACACCAAGCCTTTAACAGAGGTATGGTTTTAGGAATATTCATATCTTTTGCAACCTACTCTGAATAGTTAGAAAAGAAAATGTGATTGTATCTAACATTTCATGAATTAGAGTTTTGGAATAACTAGCGCTCTTACAGTTGAAGGATCAAGGATTACAATGTTCCCAGAGAACTATAATGCCCAACTTCCAGTAGTTAAAGATGAGTTCTGACATTCCTGCAGAGCCAAAAGAAATGAGGTAGTTTCAAGAAGCTCTCTTATCCTAAGACTGGAGGCCAGCAAACACTGTTCTTCCTGGCTCTCTAGATGAAGGGTCCATATGCAAAACTACCCCTTCTTCCAAAGAGTTTCATTTTCATCATTATCTGGTTTCTTCAGTTTGTTTCTGGAATTTTTTAATCAGAGGTTAAATGGGTCTGTATATCAGAGACCGATCCAGTCAGTGGAGTGTTCTTTTAATACAAAAAATATTATATAATGGAATCCTGTATTCTTGTCTGCTCTTTTCAGATGCTGTTTGCAAGAATGCACTTATTTCTTTTAAGCAGCAGCCTCCATAGTAGAAACAATGGCACCAAAAGAGTCAGTAAAAAATCTGAAAGTTCTTTTATCTTTTTTGTTTGTTTGTTTAACTTCCTTCTAGGCTAACCAAATCTGAGAGTACAGATTCCCTCCTCTCTCAGGCCAGTGGAAGTAGCGGGAGTCACTGTGCGGTTGCGGTAACAAGGAGGAGCTCTGAAAGATCAGCTGCTGTAGCTGGGATGCCACTGAAACAGCCTGGCCAACCCCACAAAGTGACCACTAAGGCTGGCTCAGCCAGTCGTGTAAATGCTGCCCAACCTGAGACCTTAAAGCCAGCAAAGGAATCAAGATCCCAGAAGCATACAAGGGTAAAGGTCTATGTTGTTTGCTTAGTGAAGAAGCATCTTGCTTAACTTCTTTCCATGGGACTTGATTTTTTACATTTTTTAACTCAAAGTGAACTGTCTTCATCTCTCTTTGTTATTAAATTTCATTCTGTTCGTTTGTGCAAGTGAATCCTGAAGGCACTGTGGAGAGTGCTGCAGAAGCAAGGAATGAAAAAGTATGTAAAGGAGTATTTTATCATGCCCAGGGAATTAAGGCTGAGAGGGATAACAACTAGGAATAAAAAAGGTGGGAATGAATATCAATGGAGTTATGAAATGTAGAAGATTAATATAAAACCTAAAGGCACCAAAGAAATAGCTGTACTGGAAGGGTCGAAGCCATTGTGGAAGAACAGACTGTTCTGAGAATAAAAAGATATTCCAATAGTTGTACAAGTCCATTAATTGAGATAACATTTAAATACTTTGGTGCAATAATGTTTACTTAATAGCTGTATATATTAGGAATGCCATTTTTAAAATACAGTACACAGAACTGTTTCTGGCATAATACTAACTTTAAATTAATCCCAGGATACAGAGAGGACTCTGCAAGAATGCTGATGTACTGTGAGTGGCAAGTTGGGATTGCCCAAGTAAGCATAAATTGGTGTGACTCATTCAGACCTACAGTAAAGTTTAAACATCTCTGATACAAAAAATGTCAGAGGAAATTTTCCAATATGACTTTAGTGTCTGATTTAGATTTTTTTTTTTTAATATGGATGCATCAAAGAAGGAAATACCAGTCTAATGAAAAGTTATCTGTTTATTATTTTGGAGGAAATAAAATCCAAGCCAATATCAATTTTTTTGTCTTCCAAGCTCCATGTGAATATTTGATGATCCTTTACATTGCTTTGACGTGTAAAAATTTCCTTAATTTTTTAGATGAAGGGAATGGAAATAGATTGTTAAATAACTGCTCAGATTTGGTCAGTGGGTTGATGGTGTTGGGGCAATGGATTAAAGAAAGAGGCAAGAAAAAAGATCAGGTTTTCTGTTTTCGTTTTTTTTTTACTTCCATTGGACAATTTTTCTTGTCAATAATTGGGATGAACTTTTGAGTGTGTTTCTGCTGTTTCCAAGATGCTGAAGGAGGTGGTTGCTAAGACTCTTCAGAAACATGGAATTGCAGAGGATCACAAGTGCTTTGCATCATGCAGCCAGCGTCTGTTCGAGATATCAAAGTTCTACTTAAAGGTAACTAGAAGACATGCTCTTACAGTTCTTTGTTCTTAGTTAAGTAAGTCTGCTCCTGAATAAAACTTGAGATAGTCTGTGGGATATTCACACTTGATTAAGACAATATTTCCCAATATATTAGTAGTGTGTAGAATGTGTGGATAAACCTTTAGGCTTGTTGTCCAATGCAGAACATAGTTTTACAGTATATTTTGGTGGTGTCTTATTTGTTTTTAAACCTTATAAAGCAGTACTCTTCTATGTGAGATAACACCTTAAAGCATGGATCTGTTCGGTCAAGTCATACTTTATTGCTTCCTTAGCTGTTGTAGCTATCTCACAGCTGTAGCTGTGACAGCTCAACTTCTCCCTTGTTCTAAGGCTGTTGGCTCAACAAGTAGCTTACAGAACTGACTCAGAAATTCTAGTTCTCTGACATGCTCACAGAAGTCACTGCAAATGTGCACAGCTATCTCACACATACTGGCTTGGCAGCACCCTGTAGAATTGCATCAACCTCATTTTTGGAAGGAGATGAGAATTCTTTCCACAATATCTAAGAGACTTTGTGAGTCAATGCTTAAGCCATGTTACTTGGTCTGGGCACAAAATCAAGTTAAATTACAGTATGGGGTGTTTAAAAGCTATTGCTCACAAGCTGAGCTGCTGTTCCTGCTCATTTACATGTGTTTAGCCTATGTCTATTGGGTGAACTAAGTTTAGACAACTTCAGTAGAGGTGATTTAAGGTAAATGAAGTTGCAGTTGAACAGGGCTGATTGTTTACACGGACAATCTGAACATCTTGCTGATAAACACCAACTTCTTAAATAATTGGAACACATTTCACAATTTGGAACACAGTTGCACAGTCATTCTGTGAGTGCTTCCAGGATCTCACTGAAATATGACCTTTGGATTAGGAAGGTCTCCTAATCCAAAAGCAGAAAGGGCTGCATGTAGGGATGAGTGAGTAGGGCAGATCAGATGGGTTCATGGTTCCATTCCAAGTAGAAGAGCAAAAGGAAGAATACTACAGTGATCCTGTATTATTATTCATAAAAAAAGCAAAGTTAAATAATTCTTCGTTGCTCAGAACAAGGTGATGAAAGTGTAATATCACCCTGGTTATTGGGGCTCTTATAACCCAAATTAGAGTTACCATACAAGTGTGCTGATTCCTGTGGCTTTTTGTTTCATATCTAGGATCTTAAAACTTCTAGGGGACTTCTTGATGAAATGAAGAAAACAGCAAATAGCAATGCTAAACAGGTAAGACCATTTGTTTGTTTCTGTAACTAGCCAAGGCTAAATGTTGCTATGGCAACTTGGTTGTAGGATGGTTTAGTCCACAGCTTTGAGAGATGAAGAGAATACTTCAGTGAAGAACACTCTACCTTGGCTGTGGGTCTTGTTTCAGTCCGATCTCACAGAAACTTCCTCTCAATCAGTAGTCCCATGGCAAAATTTCCAGTTGCTTATATTCAGGATTTGGATAGTATTCTAGTTATAGCTGCCTATATGATGTGCCACACTGAGAAATGGAAATGAAGGCAATAAATGTTTCTACATCACTGAAACAAAAAAATGAGAGATGAGATTTTTCTTCATTAGACGGAAACCTGGATCATTAGGGAATTGTTCTCTTCTTGTGTTGAAGTAAATAACATTTCTTTTCAAAGGTTAGGAAGTAATAAGAGGGTCTGTAAAAGGAAATAAACTTCTGAAAAGAAGCAATGAAAATTAGTAATTTTAAGCTTGGGAGTAACTGTAAGCACAAGGGATATCCGGTGAGTTTATTTGTGTGTAAAGTGAGACTTATGTGAACAGTAGCACAGAGTAAATCATACAAGTAAATACCCCTCCAGAAATTAAGTAACTGACTCTGAAAAATACACTGAAGTGACTCCATGATTGGGAAAAAAAAGTGTTATGCATAATTACAGTACAGTTTTCAAAATCATAAATTAAATGGAAGAATTTGAACTGGCATAGTTAAGTAATAAAACCCAAACTCTCAAGGAAAACTGCTAGATCCTCGCAGAATTTATTCTACAAGAGCAGTATTTGCTGTGTTCTGTACTGTGCTCTGTTGTGAATTGCTTCCTACAGATGATAAGGTTTAAAAAACTGCATGGGTTGTGATGTTTGGTGTTGAACTGGGCTGTTGTCCTGATACACTGCTTCTCACCACCATCTTTGTCTGGGGAGAAAACAGGTAGTTTTGTGAATGTTTGCTGTTTGCAAAAGAAGCGTTAAAATTGGTGTTCTCCTAAGCTGCTCACTGCTCCCTGTATTGGAGAATATTTTGAAATTACCTTATGTAAACTATAATTGCCAAGGACTAATCAGTGGTCTGAACAACTGCCCTGCTTGGAAAGCAGCAGTAAAAAAGGTGGTAGATAAAGCAGTGCACAAATTATCCTTTATTCTTTCTTCTGCTGTTTAGTAAATACCACACAGATGATGATAAAGGTGGCGATAAAGAAAGAATTGATAAAATGTCTGAGATATTATTAAGTTACTTTTGAGACCTGGAGTTATGAAAATGGTTTGCTTTCTCATTTATTTGCCCAGGTGATTGAATGGGTTTTGGAGAAGACTGGCAAGTAGAAGTACTGTGTGGATGCTATTCACACCTTCCTAGGAACTGTGGGGACAGAGCACTTCTGACTACAAGAAAAGCATTGTACTGCCTGAGGCACACACATACAGATCTGCACACTGGTGGTCAGTGTAATTATACAGACTCATCCTTTAAGCACAGTAGCAAGAGTTGAAACTTTTTATACTGGAAGTTTTAATTATTTTTTTTCTAATTCATATGAAAAAAGGTTTTATTTTATGTGCATATTTATTATGTTTGTTAAAAGGAATATAGCTTAACTTGGTTTGATAAAGCTTTGTATGTTTTACAATCAGTATATATGTTTTTTATGTGAATAAAAACCCCAACAGATTTAATTTTGATAACAGCCTCTTTGGTTTACCTTTTTGTGTGAAGACCTCCACTCTATTTATTACAGCTCACTGTTGTATAGACAGCTGTTTACAGCATTGGCCATTAACTTTTCGTAAGCTAATTAAGAGCAGTTTCTATTCTGCAGGTGAAAGCAAAGGTAATTAGAATTCGAGTCACGATTATCTCTGTGTTGTAGTAGCAGGAAAAAAACAATGTCTTTTGAAACTTGATGGGAGGTCCCATTAAAGAAAGGATCACTTTACAAGCTGAATTTCTGGTATAATTTCCTGCCTGCTCTTTGTAACACTCCTTAGAAAAAAATCTTAAGAGAGGTCTGAGATCTCATGTCCTGGAGGAGGAGAAAATCAAAGCGAAAGCAGTAATGATGATGGTGAGAGCTGGCAAAGAGCTGGTAAGCTGTGCTGAAGTGTAATGGAAAGAATTTCTACCTGTTTCACGTGTTGCAAGTACAGTAAAGGACTAAATTCAGCCTCAGTTTGCTGAAGTCTCAGACATGTACCTGGCTTGTACTAATGTAATTATTCAAGTTAGTATTATTTTGAGATGAGGAGTTCCTACCAAAACAAACAGATTTCACAGCTTTCAGTATAAAGATTTCCTGTTCATCATATAAACTAATATGATTGATAGAGAAGCACTGCTTTTGTTTTGCTATATTCCCCTGGCACGAAAATGGATTAAGCAATACAAATATAAATGAAATCTAATGTGATGAAAAAGTAAATGAACTAAACCATGTGGAGGTTAGACTAAGTACTGTAAAATCTACACATTCTCTAAAAAGCCTTTCTGATTTTGTGGCATTATTCTTTGCTTAATTCTATTCCATGTAAAGCTGAGCCCTAAGGAGGTTTTTCGTGTCTAAGATCTTGTGTTAATCTGTTCCTTTGTCTCTCTGTTTACTGTTCTCCTGAACTCTACAAGACCTTTTGTAGGGGGAGTGTGTACTTGGTTTAACTGCACTCTGAGCTGCAAGAGGAGACCTTTGTAGTTGTTCTGCTGTGACAGGGGGCTCTAGTGAGTACCGTGTGCATCTTATCCCAGGACAAACATAACTACTTATGAGATGGATTTCATTTGCAGAATGCCACACATCCACAGCATCCTGGTTTTACTGATTTGGTGAAATAGAAATGCAATGAAGAGAGATACTTAAATAATGATTTGATAAGTGCATGCATGAAATTACTCCAGTGTAATGATTACTGTGTATGGCTCACGTTTCTTCGCATTCAACACAGAAAACAAGAAATTAATCAAGACATTAATCTTCCTTAACATCTTTTAGTGAATAAAGGAAGTCTCTACTTCCAAACAGAGAAAAGCTGTAAGTTATAGCCTTATCTCTTCAGCCTGAATGCTGATACTTTTGTCTGAATACTAAAGCAAGTCACTGAAAGTTGTATTTTCTACTTAATTTTGAGAGGTTTATATATGTGTAATTACAAAAACTTTGTAGTTAATAAATTATACCTAAGTTGATAAGCAAAAGTACAGGAACTCTACATTTCATAAAATCCTCGAGGCTAGCTGCCATAAGCAAAGCAAACACCTTTCAGAAAAATAATTAATACTCCTGAACTGGTTTTATTCTAGTTCAATAGAGCCCAAAAGTTATTGTTTTAATTAATTCTGCAGACTCAAAGGCTGGTCTGAAATAATAAGCAGGAAAGCAGTTAGGGAAACATAAGCATTTTAATGTATTGTTTATTTGCATGGTTCCCAGTCCTGAACTAATACACTGCTCCCATGTCTCATTTGCTCTTTATCTTGGTGGTTTTTTAGGGTACGTGGCAGCTGGTTTATTGCTGTGGCTTAGTAACACTGTGCCCCATTTGAGCTGTGATAACTGTCCTTGTCCAAACACTTAACCTATAAAAAACATGCAAAATAATTTGACCTGGTCTACTGTAACAGCACTACAGCAAATTATAACTACAACATACTCTATTGTAGTTCAAAAACCTCACACCAAGAGTTCCCACCAGCTGATGTGTTTCAACTTACGTGATGCAGAACTGAACATCACCTCTTGCCTCTGAACTTCTGATTATTTTCTTGTTTTGGGCTGCTGAAGCCAAAATCCAGTTTGCCCTATGCATCCTCTGGGTGCTTGCTTTCATGTTTTTCCAAATCAGGATGTAAGTCATATTCACCAGGACACATTTATAGTTTACCCATAATCCATCCATACTACAGGATAAGCACATAACATAATGTACCATAATATAATAACATTATGTATTATAAGCATATAATCCATCCTTTTTATGTGCTTATATTACCCACAGGATTGGGGTAAGACAACACTTGGTGTGGTTGCAATTCCTTGGTGATAGAACTGCTTGCAGTATTACAGCATTTGCAGGATGGCTATCACTGGGCTACCACAGAACTTAGCTTGGGTACAAATGCTTGTCAAATTCACAAACTTCCTTTTCCAAATTCACAGTTCTCCCTTGGGATTTGTCTTCTGAATTTTTTTTCTAATGCCTCCCATTATTTATTTACGCACAGAAATTCTGATGAAGGAAGAAAAGCTAATCCTGTGTGGGAAAAAGGTCATCACCTTTGTTAAAATGTTTTCCCCGTCATGCTTTTAAATTAAACTTTTGCCCTGGTTAATCTAGGGGTCCATTTATATCAAGCAGGCTCAGTTTCTCAAAATTTTGCTAGCATATTATTAATATCTGCTCTTTAAAATCAAAGTCATCACTGAATTCAAAAGTGTCCATTTTAGATACAATTCTCAATTACTTCATAGTAATAATATACACAGTGTGTACATATTATTATGTAATATTATATATATATCACACACTGTATTAATGGTCTCTCTATATAGTAAATACCCTCAGTAAACATCAAATTATAAACCTGCCAGTTTGACTTCTATGAAAAATAAGATAAATTTGGAAATCAGTAATAGCCTAATGATCTGGAGCACATCATTTGTTTAGGCTCTGATTTTGCTTCCGCTGAAGAAAAAGAAACTCCCAATTAACTTTTAAACATAGGTAAGAGGACACTGAGAACTCTTCCAGATGGAATCAGATCAACCTCTCCTTCCAATCAGCTGTGCTTCCGAATGCAAAGAGCTGGATGGAGTGTGCTCCCATGTCCTGTGGGAAGAAGGAATACTAATCTTCTGCAGAAAGAAAACACTTGTTTTGTTATTTGCAAAAGACCAATTCTGATGATGTTCATGGTAGTGATTTACTTGGTAGCACATGATGAGTTGTCTTCTGATTTATAAAGTACCTTAAGTGAGATGCTAGTTCCATTTGAAGAGCAGGACTGTTAGGAAACACCAGTATGCTTCCCTGAATGCAATCAGATCAGCTTTATTTTCCTTTTTCTTTTTAACAAACACTTTATATCACATTTTTCCAATGACATTTATGTTCCCATACGTATCCAGATCTTTCTAACGGTGAAGCTGCTATACAAACTTTCCGATCCGACTGTTCAATTTACAGTCGGTATTTTGTGAAAAGAGTGAGACTCTGGAATATTCCTTTTTTGGATTTCCATGAGGCTGGTCTGTTATACCTCAGGTCAAACTGAAAAAACAGGCTTAAATTTCCAGTTAGGTTTTCTATTTGGGCCACTAAATTAAGAGTTTAAGTTAAAGGGAAGGAAACCATCTTTTTTTCTATAACTGTTCATAAGAGAAACACGGCATATGTTGACCTCAGTCCTTGAATGCAGAAGCTTGAGCAGAAATTTCTTTTTTTTTTTATGACTTCTGTAACTGCCTAGTGCAGTATAAGCAACAGAGAAAGCATTGTAACTTCAGCAGAGGAGTCTGAATGACCTGCCCTGGAACATCCCTGTGAGCTTTCAGGGTTTTTTAATTTTAAATTTTAAAAGTCATTCCATCAATGCAATGAACAGTTCTCTCAAGTAACGGAACTCTTAACAAAAGAACTGAAGTTTAAATGTCTTTTTCCCCAGCCCAAAACCAAAGAACAGCCTTCCAAATAGTTTGTCTGGGTACAAAGTAAGCTCACCTCACAAAAATCCAATAAATGACTTTATTAAATATATTCTTTTCCTCTAAAATATAAATATTCACTATACTCTTATAAATGTGGAGTAGGTCCATATTTAATTTGTCTATCCCATCCAAATATGAATCAGTTCAAAATCTGAAAATGAAGAAATAGCATCTGTAATTATCATTTATTTTTTCTATAAATATATATATGAATCTTCTTTGCAAACTGCTTAGTTATTCACTTAGACTTCATATAGTACTGAGCACCTTAGATTACATTTTGTATCATTTAATTGTTGGTACTAATATAGGAATTTGTAATATTTACAATGCACATACGTGTTAAGGATAACATTCCAGTGATTTTTAAGTGTTAAAGGAGTAAGGAAATAGTGCAGTATAGTTTACAGATGTATTTTACCTACCCCACAGAATGCAAGTTTTCACTTTAACCTCTGGAACTTTTATAGGAGCCCACGTCCAGATTTTTAAGTCATACTTTGGAACAGTGATCTAAATGTTCTGAATTTGTAAAACCTTCACTGTTTTAAAACCTACACAACTGCTGTAACAGTTTATTTGATCATGTGACACGAGTTCCTACCCAAGGACCCGTCCCCCGCGTACCGACTGCTCTCAGCTTCTGAGATGCTCTTCTAGGAGCCTCCAAGCCAAAGGAGACCCACGTAACTGCCCACAGAAAGTTGTGTGGATGGCAGTGGTCACTAAGTGAGAAATGTCCATCTGGAAATTATTGGTAAGTTACGTAACATGTTGCTTCCTACCCTGTGAATTTACATGAGGAATTAATTTTTAAGTGCAAGTACCGTGACAGTAAAAACAATGTTCACAGCGAGGTGAATCCCCTCCCAGGTGTGCTTGTGAGTGGTGAGAGGTGCTGGCAGAGGGGCTGCTCCTCCAAAGGGGCACTTAGCTGTTCTTCAATGACTGTTTTCTGTATTTATGAATTCAGCCTATCATCCTAAATTTTTAGTTAGTTTTTATGATTAAGATACCTATGGAAACCACAATGAACTAATTCTTATGCTGTGAATAAACAGCATGACTTACACTTAACTCTCAAACTTAGCTTAAAAACAACATGGAGCCAAACTGTGTTTTTAATTTTCCTCTTTGCCAGCCAAGTGATGCTGTGCTTTCTCAGGAATAAAAGAAATGTTGTAATATGACAACCGAATGCCACGAACTTTGGATTTATTACTTCCTGTACACATCTTTCAAAGTGTGAATTTAGGGCAAATCTAAAAGCAGACAAAACCCCACCCCGGTGTGAAGCAGTTCTGTTTATAAAGGAAGAGCAATGTAAGTGCCATCCCTGTTCTGCTTCTTTCTATTTCTGTTACTTCCAGGTTCAAGCTGTGTGTGCATTGTTTCTGATGATGAAGGTCAGTGTTCCTGCCTGCTTTGTGCTGCCCAAGGTAATTGAACAAGGCTCAAACTCAGTGAATTGCATACTTTGACTAGAAGCAGTAAGTTGTGGTGCAAAACAGGAACTAGAAAGTCAGGGACATGGAGGTGAACATCTTATGTTTCACCAGCAAGAAATCTGGACTTGCCAAGTCATGCCCATAGGAGCAGTTCCATGTTAAGGAGTACAGCTCATGTTCCCACCCTGGTGTGTTTTTCCTCACTGTTGTGGAGCTGCTTGAATAACTTTTCTGAAAACTCTCATAAAATCAAGTCCTCTTCCTTCACCACATTTGTTCTTCTATGAAGACCACACCACCACACCGCTATGAAAACACCACACATCTTGTCTGAGCAGGTGACACAGTAGGGGTAGGACAGGAAGCTTAACATGGCCTTCTTTTGGAAAACTGCCATGGAAATACGCTGGCAGAAGCTTCCATCACACTTCAACATGGATTCAGGTACCTTTTACCTGAGCTGGGGATCACAGATAACTGAAACTCATTAAGCTATTCTGGGAAGTCACTATAAAAATGCATCCCTAATGTTCATTAATACAGGACAGTTCCTACCTGTGCCCACTGACAGCCGGCTCTCAATACATCCTAGAGTTGGTCTTACTTTGGCTCCATCCCTAGGAATGTACATGTAGCACGTCTTTATTGTTTAATTTGAAACTGCCCTGGGCAGGGGCCCTCCAGGTGTTCCCTGACCACAGCTGTATTGCTTCAGAGAGTCCAACCAAAGGCGTGTATTTGAATGCTCTGCTGGGCATTCATGCAACAGGTTCTGACAGAGCTCCAAAATAAAAATTTTCTGTAAGTGGTACACAGGTTACAACTAAAAGAATCTTTTACTTTTGGGTGCTGGGACAATCTTGTTTGGAGAACTTCTCAGCCAATCTTGAGTTTGCATTACAGCCAACATGCTCTTGTCTGCTTAGCCCTTTACTTATTCTATATAAACAAGTACATTGAAATAGGCACAATTTATGATTCTGAAACATTTACACGTATGGTACTACACGCTTTTACGGTCTCACATGGGATTTTAAAACCTCATTATTTACAGTGAAATCCCCTGTCTTCCTTGTCATGCCATCTCTTTAGCTGATCAAAATGAAACCTGGGCCTTGGAAGACTGCAGAAATGACCTAGGCCCAGTGCTGAACCCCAGGCTGGTGTCTGCTGCTAGCTGGGACGGGTTCCTGCTGTTGACTGTACTTCACATGAGCATGGT